TCCCAGGAACACGCTAGATTCTGTTAGATATATTTGACATGTTTATAAATTCCCATGAAGTAGAATTTATTTTTTAAAAAAACCATGTAGAAAAAAAACACTTGCTGTGGCCTTGATATATAAAGACGATTATTATAATTTTTTAAAAATCTTTTAACAATAATTATTTTTATTCAAATGTCGACTCGTTTCATCTCTGTGAAGTTGAAATTAAGAACACCACCGAGTCTGCCACATCTGCTTCCTATCTGGTTGTTATACGGACTATAGACGATCAGGACCAGCTAACTAAGTTGTATGACAAACAGGATCACTTCAGTTTTTTATCTTCAAACTATATCTTACTTATGTAACAATATTCCACTATCACCCGTTTCCGGTGTTAATGTCTCCCTATTTTTTTCGCTACTCAAGAGATTGTTCTGAACATACGGTTCATTTTTTAAAGCGAGGCATGCTATTCACTGATAAGTTGACGTAACAAGTGACCAAGATTTCAACAATCTCGTTTGAGTTCTATGGTCATTATTATGATATGTTAGCCCATCATTGGGTCGCAATTTTTTAAACTAGGTTTATCGATTGTAAACTATAGTTTACAAACCGTGAACTATAGTTAACAATTCGTTAACTATAGTTTTCATCTGTAAAACTATGTTTAACGGTTGTTAACTATACTTAACGAATGCAAATCTAAGGTTATCTGTCTGTAATTAAACGTTAATTATAGATTTCACAGATTCACGTCTATAAACTATTATTTAAAATCGTGAACTATAGTTAAGAGTTGTTAATCATTGTTTCACAAATCATGAAACTATTATTTAAAATCGCCATTCGAATCGCCATTTTATAGTTAAGACGTTTTTTGTTAACGCCAAATTCGCATACCGCCATCCGCCACCCTGTTTCAAACGTCCATTTTTAAAATCATGATATAACAGGTGCATGTGGTATATTTATCAGCCATCCCGTTGTAAACAATGCCATTGAATAATTGAATAAGAATTTATTAACAATAATTTTAACATGAAATGAAAAGTAATAAAAATCATTTGTATAAAATTTATAGTCGATATTATTTTGTGTGTACACAATAAAAGAAAATTATTTCGGTATAAATCGTGAACGTTTCATAAACAATGATGGCATAAACAATGAATTTATTCAAGAATTCATTTTACCTACTATCGGCAATAGATCTATATCACGATCAACCCAGCATGTTTTTTTTAATATCAGACGTGCAGATATACATGCATTCACATGTATTTGTCTTTATTTCATAACTCACATTTTGTTTTAGCGAAATTTTACATAAGAAAAATACTTGAAGTATTTTCAAATTTTATAGAAATATGTTTTTATATACATGTACATGTAATTAAAGCATTTCACAAGATACATTTCAGTTGAATTTTGGTATGAAGAAAAGTTACATGTATAAAATTTATAGTCTTAGTGTGTAACAGTTTTCGAATCGAGAAACATTTTTTGTGGGTTTTTTCCACTGAAAGTGTCATTCTTTGCTGCTTTAAAATATCTAGAAATTAAAGCCCCCCCCCCCCTGTTCTTGAAGTATTTTATCCTGGATATTTCGATGATTTGTGTGCGTTAATGTAGTTTGACTGTTGATATCTAACACGTGATTTAATGGCCATCACAGAAATCATTATATTCTATCGCTGGAGAGTTTCGCATACTCAGTAGTTATTTTTAAAAAATTCTGCAACAGTATCAAATAATTATTTTATGATCATTATAAAAAGTATCGCAGAGTGTTAGATAAATGGCTGCAAGATTAATTTACTGTTAGAGTGTTAGATAAATACTTCTTGATAACTGGATAAACCACCAAGTGAATATCAGGAAAAGGGCTTATAGATCTATGGTTTTCAAAGAAAATGCCTGTAGCGGATTTATGAAAAAAAATAGTTATTTTATTTTATTTTATTCAGTATCTTTACATCGATTCTTTCTTTAGAATAAAAACAAATAGTTGTCTCAACTTCTATCTTTTTCTAACCCCTTTTCAGCTTTGCTTATCATTTTTAATTGTAGAAATATAATTCAACTTGTAAAAGAATTTAAATGTTTCTCCGATTTCTCGCGGAGACTGGTGAGAGGAACTGATCTGTTAACGAGTGCATGTGTATATGGATCTACTATCACGTATATTTCAACTTACATTTTCCCCTGTAAAGATGAAATTTTACCGTGTGAGAAAATCATATTCTATTTTCATATTTCTAAGGGAAGAACTTTGCCTTTAATCTTCGTTCTATAAAAGCTTTGACACTCCCTGCAACAAAACACAGAGAAGCTGACTTTTTAGTGTACCATTTATGACTGGCCCCCATTTCCCATTCAACAGTTTTGGAATAGTTATGTAAATGGCATTCCACCATTCATGCTTAATACACTCAGGGACCATTCATTGTAGTATACTCAGACTTCGATTAATTCAATTAATGGAATTCATTGGCTCCCATCACAGTCTTTTACTATCATTACTCAGAGAGACAAAGCCCCACGCTGGAGATTTTTAATTAAGATTCACTCGTAATTAACATGTATAATGTATATAACATTTCCTGTGCGATTTTTATCAATGAAAGGCGCTTTTCAAATGTTTTGTAGACTTATTGGACCGTAGAGAACAAATTCGTTTAATCTCTTCTCAGGCCCAAGGTTTAGATCTGAGTAAGTGTTACAAAATGGATCTGTGATACTTCCAGCGCGTATATCTCGCATTTGTTGAGTAATTTTCACTGCGGTCTTTACTTTTTAATGAAAAAAGGAGACGCAGTCGGTCTTTATCAAAGAACTACTTAAAGAAGCGCTGCCTAAATCTCCGCAGTGCGCCCTGAATCATCTAGACTCTGTTTTGTCCATCCCCGTGTTGTGGGACCGTAATCTTGGACATGGGGCGGGGTACGCATTAAGAACAGCTTACCAGGACCTTTCAAAAACGTCAAAAAAAAAGACCAGAGCTCTAACAAGATCATCTCCTGTTTTTGTATAGTCCCTATATAGTGTTTTTGTGCTGTTATTAATAAAACTTCCGGGGATTGGGAATATAAGTGGTTGTTCACAGCACTTTGATTGATATAAGGGGCTTAAATTTGGTAACTGGTGTGTTAAGCGGGCCATTGATTCGCCACGGTTGAGATGGGAGGAACAGAGGAAGATCTGTAGGCTCAGTGGTGACCCAGCCTGTTACTTCTCCGGCCGTCTGGAGACCACAATCGTATAGAAATTACTGGGTTAAGTTCTGTTCCTTATTGTACGGCAAAGTACACTGATACATTCAACATGTGACTCACAAAACTAGGTCGTGGGACAAGTGAGATGTTGATGACAAATCGGGGGATTCATTAAAAACATTGTGAAACCTGAGAGTGGTTACTCGGGGTAATCCCCTCTTTAAAACACCCACCCTGGCCTCCGAATTTTGGATCTGTCACAGAAAATGATGTGATGAGAGTCAATGGATACGTGATTTTAAACAGATCATACAATATTCATATCACGCCATGTTGCGTTGATCCTTTGCTGTCAAAAGCCAATCCATTGAACTTTTATCAGCACCAATCCTTCTTTACTAGCTTACACTTTTTGTACATCAGCATGTAAGCTGAATTGCTAGAATGATCCGCTGGCACGTGTTTGTAGTGAGTATTGAGTCAGAGTACTGTGCTCACGTCAAGCAGAACTAATTAATATCAGACTAGAATACGCTCTTTTCTTCTTTATATTTATTTCTTCTTTGAAATAAAGTCAAACGCAACGCATGCAATATGATGCTTTCAGCAAGGAAACATTGAAAAATATTGAAAAAATTCACCTAATTTCTCCACAAAGTATTTTTTTTCTCTTAAAATCCAGGCAAAATGCCTCGAAAGACCATAATCTAAAACAAGTAAAACACAATAATTTTTTTTCTGACAATGAAAAAAATATTCGAAGAAAATGAACTAATTTATGTTTTTAAAAAAGATGGTTTCTTCTAAAAAAAATTTTTTTTGTTTTTCCTTTGGTTTGGTTTTTTGAAATTTGAGATATATACAAAAAACATTATTTAAAAAGTAAGTGTATAGAATTAAGAATACGAATATGATATTTCCTATTTAATTTTTTTTATTTTCAAAAATATTTCAATGATATTATAGAATATACTATATACATTGTCAATAATTCTAAAAATATTTTAATCCTTGATATAAAAAAAAAACACTGCAAAGATATGACTATGAGCAGTTCTTTCATTAATGTATAAACTAGAACTTAGGAATGTTTTACTCCCCATAATACACATCTAAAGGACAATATTATATCACTATTTTTCTCAAAACTAGTAATACTGATGATAAAATGCAAGCTTGTCCGCCATTTACAATTAATAATTACGAACTATGTTCTCATTATCGGAATAAGAGTCTGAAATTTCCCTTTCTAAGCCAGACTTTGCCTGTTTTAAATAACTCTCGGATCATCACTAGTCCAAATTTAGTCAGACCTGTTCGATCGCTATCTGCTATTTGTATCGTATCAATTACAAGGCCATGTAGACAGTAATAATTAAACCTTAATCATAAAAAAACCTGTTGAAACCGTCAGATATCTGTTCTTGACTTAAACAAGCTTTTTGAGATTTGATGCTGATGATTTCGCTTCCAGGTCCGGAAAGAAACTCAAGTAAATGAAGATTTCCCAAGGCTCAGTATAAAAGTCAGTGCCATTTGCCGACGAATCGAGAAAAAAATGTATCAGTCCGGAGATAGAAAAAATTATCATATACTCATAAACTGCATATTGATCTTATATTTGTCAGCTCCCAAAATAAACACGCAGCAACTGACCGCTTATAGACACACCCACCAGAGAGGAAAAAAGGACAACGAAGAACACGCATGCGCCCAATTCAAATTTAACTTGCAATCATTTATCATTATAAAATACCAACAATTGTGATTTTAATGCTCAGATCATTCGATGGTTCGATGATAATTGGTGATGATTCTGTTACAAGAGCTATAGGATATACCGATTTTCTTACTTAAAATGAGCTTGTGATTTATAGTGTATTAAGGACATTTTAAATGTAGTATTATGTCGTAAGGTCGAGAAGAAGATTAACTTTATTTAAGGTAAGAATTAATAATTGCAAAATGCTTTATACACAGATCTCTTTATCAACGTTAAGTTTTCATTAAGTTAGTGTAAATGACAGGATTGATTTTATCGATTTAATTATTTTTTTTCATTTTTCCATCTTGTGTAAATTTCAATATCTTAAATAAACAAAGATGACACAATAAACAAATAGAAAGGATTACAGTAAAATGCAATTAGATGCCGGAGTTGCATTGATTGAGGACCATCGACCATTTCCTGGCATCAAGTGTGAGAATATCCCCCACTTTTCACTGAGGATCATCCCACAATAGTAGTAGGAGAACAGTTATTTAACGCAAAGTTGCATCTTTAAGTTGTATATAATAGTAAACTACTGCAATCGGACTCGTTAGGACTGCCAAAAAAATAATTAACTTAGAATAGTTTTCTTGTATCTCTCATACACAATATATCGTAATAGATTTATGTTAGGTGTTACTTTAATGTAGCTTGTTCTTGTACAAGAACAAATCAATCAGATTATTCGAATTATTTCATAAGAATTTGGAAGTAACATTCATTCCACGCACCAACTCGTAAAACTGTAATAATTCCGGAAATGTTAAGTTGTACGCGTGAATAATTAATCTGAAGCTATTGGTTGACAGTAATTGCAGACAAATTCATATTGACCCTTGATGACATTGAGTGCGTCATCAGGACAACTATCAGAACACCCGGAAACTAAAATTAGCAACAAGGAAATTTAATATTTATTTTGAAGACTCTAATTATAGAAATATTTTAAGAAAATAACATTTTTATCTGTATAATTGACAAGTTACACGTAATATAGTTCTAATTTTGTTATTTAGCAATATCAGAAATATTGACCTTAAAAATTTTGGAGAATTAATGGGTCATCTGACTTTGAAGAACTAGGACTATGTTCTCGATACCAATATATTGAATTTATAATGATTCAATGCAACGATTTACACTTGGCTTTAAAAGCATTTTCATAACCTTTCCAACTAAATATTTATCCATTTTAAGAACTTCTTACAGATTCTTGTAATTTGGAAGCTTTGATAAGGTATTTATAAGATCGGCCTCCGGGGCTATACAATTGAGATGAGCTCACGCTTGATCTCAGTCTTCCTTTTACTGAAAGAATATAGAGTAGAAAAATCAGACATCAGAAGTTTGTCTTCTCTAAGTTTTATGGCCCCGGGACCATGTTATCATAATGAAGCAGAATTTGGAATGTGAGTAGAGTTTGGGATGCGTTTGATAGTTTATCCAGTGATTATTATCATTCTTTGATAGGCAGACCATGTCTTTTTACAACTCTGAATTATTTTTCTCTCTTCATTATTTGTTTTACTATCATCCCAGTGTCTTGCTACGTTTTCCAATATACCGACAACATTAAGAATTTTTTCATTCATGATTTCTTCTCAATATGATAACACAGTTACAGAAAAAATCAGACAAAAATGTTAATAAAAATAGTAGTAATCAAATATTTATATACTATGAAATGTCAGAGACATCAGATATTGCAAAAGATGATAGCTACATGCAATGTCAATGGTCTTCATTTGGCATTAAATATTTAGAAAGGATTGAGTTTTCCGGATATTAGACACCAGAGTCGAGCTGAATGCTAGAGGCAATATCCAATATAAAAACAATATAAAGATAGAAATCTTAAGAAAACAGAAGCATCCCCCTCGTCAGACAAATTAATAATTAGACAAGAGTTACAACCTCGGCAATAACCTCTCGGAAGCTTTACATCATGTGATTTATGGACAATTAATGTCTCTATAAATGTTTCACCTAGTTCTTAACCCAATTATCAGGATGTATGCACGGGGCTAATTATTACCTATTACATTATAGGGTAAGTTACCATTATAATAGTAATTTACTGATGCACGCATACCTTTCATTCATCACTGGTATATGATAAATACTGCTTTAAAATACAATCTGGTAGAGTAACTATATATAATTAAATTGAAATTAAATATTTAAGACAGAGTAATAGGCAGCTTCTATAACTAAAATCAAGATAAAAAACAAAATGATACGCACTGCATTAACACAAAAAAGCAATGAAAAATCTTCTATAACTAATATCAATTAATATTCAAGGATATAAGGCCGAACACGATTAGAAATGCGATGATTCCGTCACATCATTGCACCGGAAGTATGACGTCAACTCCTGTTCCAGAGTTCCACTATTTCGTTGCATGTTTGAAAAAAACCCTGATCCTTTACCCTTACAATAAGTGTAATACAATAACTACATTTTTTTAAAATAAGTTTTCCTTAAAGCCTTAGCTTTACACCTATATAGTAGGAGTATTATCAGTTTTGGTGAGCAGAATGAATTACCGACACAGATGATCGCCGGCAGCAGCTGAAACTTCATTCGATGTTGCCATTAATAGAATTAGTCAATGTCCTTTTTTGTTCCCAGTTAAGCCATTTTATGTCTTAATAACAATCAAACAGTTATCATTACACTCTGGGGGCACCCCTCTGACACTAATTTTAAATATTAGATCACGTCGTATTAGATAGTGTCCTTGATGCTCGCGCCGTAAGGTGGGATGTCGGGATAAAAACTAGGTGAAATCTAGTCACCTACACCGAATCACGTGACACTTAGAACGGTGCAGTTCGTCACCTATACAAGGATTTGAAATTATCCCCTAGATATAAAACATTTAAAAGCAGTGGGATGACTTAATTTTGCAAGAGAGACATTTTCTAAAAAAAGAAATAATGACCTACATTTATAATATTATGGCATAAAATGTATCAAATTCCTTTTCTCTAATTTATATATAATTATTCAATATTATTTATCTGTTATTACGACACCCGATTCTGTTCAGAATAAGCGTTAATAGAAACAGTCCAGAAATAGAAAACTTCACTTCCTGTAATGGTAGGATTTAATTTACAAATTACATACATAGTGACCGAACGTTATATTGAATTTAGGACGGAAGTTATGTCGAGGTTTGTACAATGTGATATTCATTTGTTTTAAACACAGGAATTGGTGATTGACAAGTTATTCATAAAAATCAGTTAACTTTACGTAGGAAGGTTTAGAAATGGTTACCTGTGGGCCGTTGTTTAATTTAATGCAAAAAGAAATATTATAAAATTTGATGTACATCTTATAATCTGAGCATTAATGTGACCCTAAGGCTTCAGTAGTATGATTTTATGCTAAACATATATCTATAAATACACCACTATCAGTCATTCATCATTTGTAATTGAAAAGTATTCACCTTTGGCAAATAATTTTCCCCGTTGTTCATCGAAGTACATGAACACTGATAGAATACTAAATGCCATCAAAGTTTATCAGGATAAGAAATCCTAACAAAAAACCAGAAAAACAAATAAGAGAAGCTTTCATATTTTTCTAAATGTATTGAACTACTCAGGCACTAGGCTAGTACCCTATGAATCCTGTGACTTTGTTATAAGTAAGTAAGCTAAGTGTTATTACATGTTGCCTTCTAATTAATGAACCTTTTACTATCTAATTTAACATCTCTGTGATTGATCATTACAATTTTTCATGCTTTACGTTTGATAAAATATCGAAGATTGTCAATAATCATAAAAGCACAACTATATGAATATTTATGTTTTCGACACCCAGTATCAGTGTGTGATCAAGCATTAACTGGTCTCACACGCCGGATTATAGAATTATCTCCCCAATGCCCACCTATCACACAGGTAACTAACAGTACGATTTTATCTGTATTTAATGGCTTTTCTTGTCTCCGGGCGATTGACATAGTGCTCACCAGTATATTAGAAACTGATCAGAAATAACTAGCCTGTGTAACTATAAACCATTTTAATTTTGCTGATTGATTTATTTGGGAGGGGAGTTAGAAGGAAGTAGGATGTTTTTCTTTGGGTGTTCTTTTTTATGTTTTTGTTTGTCCTTTCGTTGTCTTGGCATGTACGCTTTGATACTTCGACTGTCATTTCCCACGTAAGATTTGAACTTTACTCCAATACCTGACGGTATTGTTATACAGCAAGGTAAACTCTCAATAGTATGTGGTGAAAATTAACCAAAAAATATTTAATAAAAAAAATAGGATGACATTTCTATACATTTGTGAAGGGGATAAAAGTCTTATTTGAGAATTATCCATCGCCACTTTTGTTACTTGCATCTGTTATATTGTCTTATATTGTCACGTTTAACTAAGGCTTTTCTCCCACTTATTCACCTTAATAAAGACATGTTATTTGAGTATGGAATACATATCTGTCTTGTTATCAAACGAGCGAAGCCTTCTCGTGTACGATCAAGTTGCTGAAACAGATATTTCGTGCCAAACATGTTCATCTTTTTTCAACTATTTTCATCTTTTGATCGATTTCACTAAACAATTATCTGTTTGATAGTTATTTTTATTAAGAATATGACTTAGCAATGATTGAGTGCATTTATATATTCCGATTCTAACGTGACAGAACCCTTAATAAAGTTTGGCGGTAAACACGATCCAAGTGACGATTTTAAGACCCCTCTCAGGAATTGGAGTTTGCTGTGATGCCAAGCGCCGCGATTGAGTACGACACCTTATTCGGCGGCGTCTCTGGGAAATTTATTACATTAAAATGGAAGTTAAATATGCTTCAGTGTTTATTTGAAACTGTCAGATTTTGCATTTTACAAATCCGTTGTTTTATTTTTAATTGTTTTATGTAAATAATTGTATACTGGAGGGTGGGGTTAAATTCTTCGAGAGGTAATGATTAGGTACATCCGTAGCAGGAGCATATATCATTTATTAAAAGTAGAGATGAAAGTGGAATAATTCTATTTTTTTCTACAAACATTCCCAAAAGGAGCAGATATAAATTCAGAGTTAGTGATCATTCCACTCCAATAGATCTAGCTGTAAAGAAGATAGAGTGTCCGCGGTCTGTGTATCTGATGCCTTGCTTTTAATCTTCCACAGTCTCCGGGGACCCGTAGCCCTAAAGAACTGGCACGGGCGCCTATATAAAACAATTAGTTGTCTTTATTTGGCGCTGACTCATAGTTCAATGTATCGTACAGTTGTCTATCGTAACAGAGTCACTGTGATTAAAGCGGCCCTTCTCATCACCCTTCAGACGATGTCAAAGAATCTAGCAACAAGACGTGCGTGCTTGACTTTCTTCTAGTTTAGAGGAAGTTCTCAGTATTGTAGTTCACCCTCACAACGTCAGGTATCCCGAGTCAAAACGCTGCCGTGGTACTGCTGATTAACGTCATTCAATACTTTACGAGCTATTGGCAAAGACGTTTTCGTAGGGAAAATCAAATATTGATTGTTTTCTTATCTAATCTGAAAATATTTATCTATAAATCTTTCCATGATAAAAACCATATAAATTATAACACTTGTATCTGAGGTGTCGACTGATTTTCTTCTGTTTACATTACCTGTCTACGTATGATAGGCCCCTTTTGATTGGTGCTTATCGTTTACGCCCCAAGAAAACCAGATGAGGACAGCTAGTGGTCAAATGGCAACGTGTTGACTCAGGACCATTGGCGATGACCATTGTATAGTTCATTGTACAACTATATATTCAAGTAATGAAAAAAGGAAATTACTTCATCAGGTCATTAAAGTACAATTTGGTTACCCATTTAATACAAATTTTAAAAGTAACGTGCACTCGATCCAACCGTTTTGGCGTTAGTCAGTGTGACATGCGCACCATACACTGAATCATATAAACCGATCTTTTCTATCCTATCACTCGACGCCTTAGAACTATAATTGAATATTAAACATAATTAGGATTATAGTAATAATTACAATTATATTAATAATGCAATTAGTTTGTCTGCTGATAAAAAAATGTAAAGGGAATAAATAAGTTTTAAAAACAGAATACAAAAATAGCTGGAACTCGAGAGACCTGATTTCAGAGATGCAAGTAATTCTGCTATTAAAACTATCTTAAGTTTGACTTAGATCATATCTTGATTTAATAAATTGATTAAAAAAATATATATATTTTTAATTTTTTTAGATGCCTAATGAGGTTGCTTGTTCTATTTTTTATGATGGATAAATTACAATTAGTATATTCCTGTCATTTTATTGGACAACGTCTTGGGGACCCTCTACGTATTTTACTGAGTTAGTCTCTTTATCCCTCAGTGTTAAGTCAATGACGGGAGGGGGAAGCTGCTCCAAGGGTAAACAGAACATCCATTGATCCTTCACATACTTCTGAAATGATAGAGTTAGGAATCAGGATCTCTCTCCATTTCATCAATCGACAAAACAATAACGATGTTCTGTCATGCAATCTCCTATGTGTAACTTAATTAACTTTTGTTCATTTTTTTATTGTGTTTTGTTTCATGTTCTAATGCTTTTACTATATTATCCGCAACTTTATGATTAGCTACCTACAACTTCCGGTCACGATTGCTCGGATCCGGATCAATGAATTTCAGATTCGTTATCCAGTGATCTGTTATTGTTAAAGGAATTCATTCTGTTACTAAGTGGTGACATTGCAGAGGCGAAACTTTGAAAACAATCGCACCTCCCTAACTTTCTTTAAATTTAGAATACCCCATGGCTGCAAGAAAACCATTCGGAAACTCCTATCACTTAACGTAATCAGTGTGACGCTGAATTTTAAATATTTTGTGTACTCCAGGAATTTAAAGCAAGTCAAAATGATATTGGATTCTATTTATATTTGTTAACAACGGTGAGTTATGAGAAATATGAATTAATTGCTATAAATGTCAGATACCCGGTTGTATGTAACAACAGTTTTCCATTCTTCACCACCATACTAGGATACAAATAGATCTTAATAGGGTAGGGTAGGGGGCAGGGTGTTTAGAAGAATTGTATGTAACGTGCTGTCTGTTTTCAACGGTTAGAATTTATTCAAAATGCTTCGGTTTTTAACTTATTTTTGGTTTTTAGTCTTGAGAACACACTATCTTGAATTTTGTTTAAAATAATTGGACGGCAAACATTAGAAGGAAAGAATCGCTGGATGGTCCCTTAATTTATACTTTACAACTAATTTTTATGTAAAAATAACATCTCAGGAAAAAAGAAATTTATATAATTCCTCTTCTCTGTAGGAGTAAAGACTTTTAAAAAAATCGGTTTTTGGTTTTAAATGTTGACTGTTTTCATGATAAATTATCAAAACAGATTATAGCAAAATAAACGCCACTTAAATACATTTATAAGATAAATGTTCATAATATTTCTAGTTAGGCTGATATTTCTTATTTATCTGATATTTCTCTTTAAGGCTGTTTTAGGTAACATTGAAATATTGTACAGCATTGTCTTTCTCTGACTTTTGTTCATATTGATAATCAAAGTACTCAGAAGTACAGAGAGCCGGGCTCATTTACAGAGTAGAATGGATTTCATGAATCATGTTTATATTCTGATGAAAAAAAAAATTATTTTAAAACTATCAATATAAATGATAAGACACTGACAGTGAGTTTTTCAATTTAATATCCGATTTTGTCAGAATCAGAATTAATCTGGTACCGCAGCTGAATGTAAACAAACAGGTCAGTCTGGTTCCCTCTCCTGTTTTACCTCGTATGTGCATGTACAGAACTACGGTAACACTGATTATCAAAAATCCTTACGCTAATGAGACTTAGAAGTTTTCAAAGTCATTATACTAATGTTTATTTTATATAGATAAAACTTCGTTTTATTTTTGTTGCTTTATTTAGCGTTTGTATTATCTCAAAAGCGGTTGAGAGTAAGAACTATATTTTTGCACGTAACTTTAAAATGGCGACTATGGGGTCAACATCCTGCCTTGAACAGGATCACATAAGCCGGCAATTGCTCTTTGAGCAATAAGCCCGGCTAAAAATCATTCATTATATTGTTGAAACGTTATTGATAAAAATCATTCATTATATTGTTGAAACGTTATGTTAGATATATAAGTATTTAAAGTCAATGAGACGGGTTTTAAGAGAGAGAGAGAGACTATTGTATTATTAAAAATTCATATGATCAGTGCAAGACGATTTGTCTTTAATTTAGAGAATAAAAACAGATCTGAATATAGAATGCCTTTGGCCAGATATTAATGAAGCCATCATTGTACTTTACAGATATGCAACAGTGCGCCTTCCTGTACTACTGGTGTATTTTATTTTCCGTCATCGGAGTTACCTCCTCCTTGTATCTTCCAAACATGCATAGATCCAGAAAGAACGCCATATCCTCAATACAATCAAACTACAAAGGTAAGACCGCCTTAACGTAAGGTTAATACAATCAAACTACAAAGGTAAGACCGCCTTAACTTAAGGTTAATACAATCAAACTACAAAAGGTAAGACCGCCTTAACTTAAGGTTAATACAATCAAACTACAAAGGTAAGACCGCCTTAACTTAAGGTCAATACAATCAAACTACAAAGGTAAGACCGCCTTAACTTAAGGTTAATACACTCAAACTTCAAAGGTAAGACCGCCTTAACTTAAGGTCAATACAACTTAAACAATATAAGTTCTAGGTTTGCTTCCGTAAAATAAGGTAAAGGTAGTTGACACAGACATTTCAACCCAGTAAAATTAAATTTAGAAGAATTATTTTTGTTACAGTAACGACGTCAGGTTCTCTTCAAAATCAGCTCACATAAGTAATGCCAGATTTTGCTGTAAATAAGATTAATGTCACTCACTTTTCAAGTTACGTCATGTTTTAGTTTAAAATAAGCTAAAAAAAAATATGATATTTTTTCTTTAAAAAGTTAGGAAAGTATTCTGTATCTTTAAAATGAACTAAAATGAATTAAGATCGACTTACCAAAGTCACAGTACGTTATATTTAATTGAAACTAAGCTAAAATAATTACGTCACTTTTCAATTTAAAAAAATCATACGAAAGTTTTATCATCGTTTTGCTATAAATTAACTTTAAAAAGTTACAGCAGCTTTTGCTGTTAAATAAGGAATATATAGAGTTAAATAAGGTTTAAAAAAAAGGGGGGGGGGTTACGTCACTTTAACTCTAATACAGCTTACAAAAGTTACGCCATATTTATCTTTTAAATCCATTCACAAAAGTTAATCAACTTTAGCTTAAAATCTTAAAATTCACATTGTTAACTTTAATTTAGGGGCTAGATCAAAAGAAGGATGTCGAATTGAAATAAAAACGAAATTCAAACACCTAGGGGAGGGGGTATACATGTAAAATTAACATTTTTTTTCTGTTAACGACATCGAAAACTAAAGAAAATGCATATTTAACACAAACAATTAAGCTATTTTCATTTTTTAATGAATAATCCAAAATGTTATTTTCGATATCATATTTGTACTTTTGCTTGATAATCATATTTGAGATAACATTCAGTGAAGTTTATTTATCAGTCAGTAAACTTTTGATCTGTCCCTTAGCAGTCATATTACAGTAGAATATCTAAATTTAACTTCACAATCAGATTACGAAAGGTAACGTAGGTTTGAACTTTACAGTCAGGTAACAAAATTACTATTCAGAAACCAAATCAACCAACACTACAATACTTAGAACTATATGTTAACAAGTAATGGCGAGGACAAACTAATTACAATCAATTGACAAATGGTAATGCAATCAAAGCAAGCAATCGGCAAAATCAAATTTTTAGATATAAGAAGGTAACACATATTTGACGTTTTTAGTTTTTCAAAGCTCAAATGACTTATATAAATATGTAAAGAAATTTCTAAGATTTAGCCATACAAAATACATATATACGAGGGTTGATCCAAAAGTAATGTCACAACTTTGATAAAATGTCTCCTAGTCGATGTTAATTAACAAAATTTTACATGATGGAAGCTATATGTATTTTAAATCATTCCTGAAAAATTCAAATTAAAATGACTTATACTTTACAAATTATCGAATTAAACACAGAGTGCGATTATGGTAGTCGCCGCACCTAAATAACGTCATAAGACGGATATGCGCCGCCACACACTTTTAAAAACGCCTTCTCATCGTTTTATTAAAAAAATGATATTCACAAAACATTCACATATTTTATTTTCTTTAAGAACAATTGGCACCAATTGTACACTTTATTTATAATTTAATCCTTCATCAAAATTCTTTGAACAATACCATAAGACAAACTTAAAAGTGTCTCATATCACTCAAACTGCCACTTATCTCTTTTACGACAACGTCGACGCCATTGAACGATTCCACCCGACCTCCTATCTTTCGGTATTTCTGTCCCCAAATGATCATTTATTTACCTATTACCCGCCCAAATTCTCTGAAACCATCTATGAACAAGTCTCTCGTTGACATTCTTTCCTCTGCGAGTTTTATTTACCATCATAACTGTTTCTACTTGTGATTTCCCAATTTGAAGAAAAAATACATTACATCTCGTTTTGGTGTTTCATTCCATTTCGACATTCCCTTTCTGCAATACATCATATATAAACAATACTGTTTATGATGAAAAAACAATGCTACCATTTAATTTTTAACTAAAGATTAGAAAATGTCGTAAATTATGTCTTTTAAAATATTGAACGGTCAGACGATTTTTTTAGATACTTTTTTAAATGTGTTTGTCTTTTTTCATTCTAACAATATTTACTTTAAAACGTGACGTTTAGTTGGGACGCAGCGACACCCCCTATGTTTAATGTTTAAAACATCTATAAAATTATTTCAATTGAACATTATTAAATGAAATTTTCAATTTTGATTAGATTTATGTTTATGCATCTTTTGGTGCATTATATTTGATAATATGACGCCAAATATAACAGATATGGACACAGTGACATTACTTTTGGATCAACCCTCGTATAAACAAAGGAGTGAAGCTTAAAGCACACAATCAATTAAAAAAATAAGATTAGAAAGTGAGATACATTTCATGTAGGCAGTGACAAATTAAAAAAAAAAAAAAAACACGTACCAGATAACCAAAAACTACACGCCTCAGTCTCGTGGCCATCAGAAATAGATACTATTGATTGAAAGGAAAAATATAATTTGTTCTAATATTTCTTGTTTCATGTTCTCTGCGGATAGATGAAACAGTCTTTTGCAATTTCAACCCTTATCATTTATTAATTCAATCGATTAAATAAAGCTGAAGTTTGTTTTTTCCAAATAATGACACTCTATATGTGTGAGAGGATTATTGAAAATTAAATCAGTATTATTTTTTTTTCATTATTTGCCAAAGAATGAAAAAATATAAAGCAGTTAAAAAGGGTGTAAAGAAGGGCATTTTTAAAAGCAAACTGATCGTAAGGTATAAGAAGAAAAGACAAACGGAATAAATCGTCTACCAAAACTGAAAAACGTCGTAAACCTAGGCAGATAATTATCTTAACTAACGCATTTGCTGAGACAGTCGTCTTAATTTTACCTTCAAAGCGATTGAGGTCTCAATTAACTATCCCAGTTCCCTGTAATGGTAGCAATAGGACGGGCAACCGGGGATGCTCCTAATTACACGAATTTCCCCTCCGTAGGATTTGTTAGAATAAATGGCAGCATTAACGGTAAATTTACTGTTGATTGGCCATCAGAAAAACAAATCAGGTGCACATCGGCCCTCTTTTATTCCGAAACTTTCGAATTCAGGAAAATTAAATTACACCAGAATTAAACAGCATCATGCTAATCGCATTAGAAGGAACTCTTGGGAAATTAGAACGATAATATACTTAGAAACAGTTCTACCCTGGAAGAAGTATTGTTGTTTAATTTTAACTGCTAAAGCAAAATGACAAACATACATGATAGCACCAAGTAATAATTATGTTCCCCAAACGAAGTTGGGGAACATATTGTTTTTACTCTGTTTCTTATTATTATGTTCCCCAAACGAAGTTGGGGAACATATTGTTTTTACTCTGTTTCTTATTATTATTATTATGTTCCCAAACGGAGTTTGGGAACATATTGTTTTTACTCTGTTTCTTATTATTATTATTTTTTTTCTTATTTGTTCTCCGGTACTTTTTTGTCCGCGAGTGTTCTCAGAAACTGTTCACCCAACTGAGCTAAAACCTTTTTAGGGTTAATAGGTGTGTAGTGTAGGTGTGCGGAACGAAGGTCATTTTGCGCGCATACGCCTGCACGTGCGTGCGCGTGAAATGAGGGAATTGACTGATATACTTAATATAGCTATAACTTTTACATTTTTTGATAAAATGCTTTGAAACTCATTACATAAGGATATATCAATAGTGTTAATAATATGACACTGTCAAATTAGCATGAATTCACGCGCATGCACGTGCGCCTTTCTCTGATTGGCTGAAACAAAAATCTCAATATCTCTTTTGTTTTCCGACGAAATGCTTTGAAATTTTTAACATTGTCATGAATTAGGATATCCTACAATATAATATGGAAATTTTTTTTATGAAATCACGCGCATGCACGTGCGCTGCAATCTGATTGGCTGAAACTTTAAATGGCTATATCTCCTTTATTTTTTGACAAAATGCTTTGAAATTTAAAACATAGTCATGCATTAGGATATCCTGCAATATGATATACAAAAAATTTCAAGAAATCATGCGCATGCACGTGTGCTGCAATCTGATTGGCTGAAACTTTAAATGGCTATATCTCCTTTGAGTTTTGACGAAATGCTTTGAAATTTAAAACATAGTTATGCATTAGGATATTCTACAATATGATTTAGAAAAAAAATCTTGAAATCACGTGGATGCACGTGTGCTGCAATCTGATTGGCTGAAACTTTAAATGGCTATATCTCCTTTAAGTTTTGACGAAATGCTTTGAAATTTAAAACATAGTTATGCATTAGGATATTCTACAATATGATATAGAAAAAAAATTCTTGAAATCACGTGGATGCACGTGTGCTGCAATCTGATTGGCTGAAACTTGAAATGGCTGTAATTCCCTTGGTTTTCAACCAAACAGGATGGGATTTAGAACATAGGTAGATATAAGGGTCTTCTACAAGAAGATATGGTCATCATGCACATGCACGCACGTGCGTGCATTTGGAACGAGTGAAATTGAAAATACACTTGAATGAGTGATTTTTAATACTTTTGGACTAAATGCTTTCATATAAAGTAGATTTTAATATATAGAAAGTGTAGACAAGATTATATGTTCATTATGCACGTGCATTCACAGGGGCACGCGTGCAATGTTAAAATTTGAATATAATTGGTATCCTTTTGGGAAAACGTTGTTAAAGTCAAAAATGCACAGATGTTGTCTTATTT